GACTCTGCGTTCCCCAGAGCACGGGAGCAGGGATGCTGCCCCGGACCAATGGCTTCGGAGTTGTGGAAGTGTGCATCGTATCTGGTCCAGCTGCAAGAACATGAGAGCTGAACAGCTCGAAGCAGGCATTCTGTGCGAACGAACGCTGCGGGCCTCCACACACACACAGGCCTAAAGTCGGTCTTTATCGACGCTTGAGCCGGCTCTGATCGGTTCCCGACTGGGCATCCTTCCCATCCGATGATGGAGGGGTACACCCTGGTTCATGCCAACCTCATGTCATCTATGACAGGCAGAACCTTCTCGTTGGTGTCATTAGGCTGACAATGCTTAGCATACGGTGTCAGCAGCCGACCCTGACAAGAGGTTGTCGAAGGCTGGTTGAGAGAGCCAGACGCAGTCTTGTGGCACGTGATGCGGTGTGGAAGCCGGAGGGTGCGCTGCCACTGGGACTGGAGAGCGTGGCCAGGCCGACAACTTGACAAGACTATCGTACGCCACATTGACGCAGCTGATGGATGCTGCAGAATGCTTATTCCTTCGATGATGCGGCCATGATTCGACGACATGTCTTCTCGGCGAGCTTTTCGTCCGACTTCTGCGCAGAGACGAAGCTTCGCATCGATATCGGATGGATCGTTGAAGTTCGGACAATGCACATCGTCTGGACTTTGAAGGTCTAGTAGTCTGATCTCAGGGGTAAACTGGAGGATACGTGGAGGCAGTGTCCATGTTTCGACCGGAAATGGAAAAGATGAGAGGTGGGACAAAGCGTTGAATTCGCCGGAATTGGCGATGAGGTGAGAAAGAAAGGCACTCGGAGGAGGAGGGAAGAAGGCTGGGTGGGTGGGAAAGTCGAAAGAAAGGCAGCAGTCAGTAAACCCGGGCGACACCTTCCCCAAGTTTTCGGTTCCTGGAGCCCCACAATCTAGTGCCAAGCCGCTACCGTCGCTAAACCTTATTAGCGCTTCAGCCCGGACCAAGATGAAGCTTAATTATCCCAAGCTTGATTGGCCAGGTTCCTGTGATCGGGGCTTCAGGGTCCACCTTAGTCAGGCGCTCGTTGTCCACCTCCGTTTCCCATCGCCGCCGCTAAACGTCGAAAACCTCCGAGTAAACTTAACCACACCACATTCTCTGGCCGTGTCCTTCGGCGCTTTGTGCTCGTATACCCCAGGCTGCCACACCCTATCGACTTGCCAGCGAATCATCTACCCGGCAGTCGTGGGATCAGGACTCCAGCTACCCAGACTGCCGGGTCGTGAACAAAGAGGCCACACGAGCGGTTCCTTGTCCTTGTCCTTGTCCTCTTCGAAGCCGCATCCTCAAGCCCAAGCCGATGACCATGTCTCGAAGCCCCCCAACGTTTCTCGTTTCACGCCAGACGTTGCGTACCGTATACGATGAAAAGCCTGTTCGGATGATTGTCAAAGGATACGCACGCGACGCGCTCTCGACTTCTTTACTGAGTCTTTGTCGTTTGGACCTTACTGTTGAACGGCTGCCCACCAACCTCCCATGCCAAGACCCTTAACTGGCTGAAGTTTGTCACAGTTATTATTCGCCGTCGAAGGAAAAACTGTCTGGTGGCGGTAGACGGTTTTCTCGTGGCGTTTCCCTGTCGAGTGGCAGCCTCAGCTTCTGCAGACCCTCATCTCCCCATCCTGTGATCTACCAGCTATCCAGCCGTCCGGCCCAGAAATCATGACCATCCAACCGGAATCCTCATCTCCGCACAACTCGGTGTAAGATTTGTGGAGATCTGCATAGGACTACTGACCTGAAGTCGTATCTCTAGTTCCTCGTGCATGGACCGGCATACGGCCAGGCCAGTCTGCAGAATCGTGGCCTCGCCGGCCTCGTCGGGGTTCGCGATCCTAGTCTTTCTTGCATACTGCATATTCATCATAGCTCGTGCATGTATGTGCATTGCCACATGCACAAGTGGCTTCCGCACCATCCGTCTATTCTGGATTTATCCTCTCGTTTCGGATCAGCTCGTCTAGCCTCATGGGGTTTTCAAAGGAGTCACCACTCGGGTGCTAGTTCGCTACGAAGCCACGTTCTAGACCTTTCGTGTTTTAGCTGCCAAGCCTCACGGTCCCCTCGAATCCATCTCGGGTGTTGAGAGTATAGGAAATACTGCGGGGAGACACGATCTCGGCCGACTCTTCAGAAATAGTTCATAAGTGCCGGGCTTCATCGCGATATCTCGATCAGAATGAAGTTATCCACCACCTCATCTCTCACAGTCTGATATCTGGCAAACTGGTCTAGCCGACTCAGACATATCTTCATCATGTATTCGGCAAAGTCGATCTTCTACGCGGCCTTGAGTGCTTCGGTCTCTTTCACATCTGTACAAGCACAGGTGGCAGATTATCCCTTCGACATTAACGGAGCGTTCGAAGGGTAAGCATACGTCCCTCCAGTCATATGACAGTATTTGGTGAACTTCAGACTGACATGGAAACTGCAGTGCTTCTGCCAGCACAACAGAATTCAACACCGGCGGCACCTTCAGGTGCAATGGCCACGCCATTACTGTGCCAAAGAATCTTCAAGTCACATTCCCAGCGGCCTTCATTCCTTTCAAGGAATTTGTGGGCAGCAGTGGCGGCTACACTGGCTACAACTGCGAGGTCACAGGCAATGTCGTCAACGGGGTTCCCATTGCTGCTCAGGTCTCAATCGCCCAATCGCTTCTGAATGGTGCCTCTGGTTTCGTTGATAGCGTGAACACTGATGGCCGGATCAAGTTGACGGACGGAAGCACCATCCGCATCAACGACCCTAACGCCATCTACTCCGTCGGATACACTTCCCAGCCTTTCTTCACTGCAGACGACGCCAATCCAAGCATCAGCTCTTTCTCTGGCTTTCCCATGTGCGTTCCGCGTAGCGCCACCGATGCTCTCTGCCCTCAGTCCAACAGACCAGATGTTACCCCTGGCGTCAAACAAGGACTTTTGTAAGTCTCGAAGCTCACTTTTGTCCGAAACTTTCTAACAATTATTTTTCAGCAAAGCGCCTGATGCCCTGGTCATGGCTCCTATTGTAGCTGGCGATTTTGTTGAGTACTCTGGTGTTCAGTCCGGTAGCGAGATCATCGTCTACAACCTTGTCGTGAGCAACGTCCAGATTACCACCTCGGGCGCCCCGACGTACATCCGCATGGAGGATGCCAACATTGGCGTTTGGACCGCCGACACAGTCAACCAGGAAATCGCACAGACCAGAGTCAGTTACCATGCCGCTGTCTCCGCATCATGAAATGCCCGTGTAGCTAACACAACACAGTTCGTCGGCTATACATCTGACTCTGCTGCAAATGTCAACCCCATCAAGATCTACGCCATTGAGTACGACCCGTGCACTGGCGAGGCCGTCGATCGTGAGATCGCGGGTGTGAGCGTGCCCAGCACCGAGGTCCGCAACAAGTTTGAGTACCGCATCAAGGCGACCCAAAATGACAACTACGCCCGCGAGTACCGCGTCGTCGCCGGCACCGGCACCGTGAAGACCAAGAACGGTATTATGGCCGGCCAATATGTCATGCCTGTCTCGGAATGGATCCAGCCCGAAGACTCCGTCCCCGGTCGCCCTCCCAGCCCACATGACTTCCGCAGCTACGCCTTCTTGGCCAAGGGGCTGGGTCGTGATGCCGAGGGTAACCTCTGGGGCCCGCTGAACCCCTTCCCCCAGACTGGTGCTACCCTGTACGACAACTCCAAGTGCCCTCCCGCTACCACCCCTACCACTGGCACTGGCACTGGCACTGGAACAGGTACTGGAACCGGCACAAGCACAATCCCTGCCACCGCTGCCAGCAGCTCGGCGGCGGCCGTCAAGTACAAGGATGTCGTGACGATGCCCACCTTCAACTGGGTCTCATCCCAGAGCGGCACCCTCACCGTCGGCTGCCAGTCCAACAGCACCGACGATGCCGCGGTTGCGATGAAGCTGAGCTACACCAACAAGGACGGCACTACCACCGGCCTCGCCATGACCTCCGGCGGCAAAGGTCTCTGGAACTTCAATAGTAACAAGATCAAGCAGCCCACAACTGGAACGGTCATTTGCAAGAGCGGTCTTGGCGGCCAGGTAGCGCGCTGAAGTGTTTGACAGGAAAAACTGGCCGTTGATCTTTTCGTGGTTTAACTTTGGCGTTTTGTTTGGGATTTCGGTGCGCGATACCTTTTAGATTTACTCCGTAGATTCCATGTTTATGAATGATGACCACTATTGCAATAAATTTCCCCTTTCGCCGTGTTCATACTTTGCCAGATGAGGATAGTCAACGCCGAAAGCTTACGTGCCAAGACAATTCTATAAGTCATGAGTAATCACAACGACTAGAGGAGTGTCTCGGTGATTGACAATGTCAGCATAGGACCCGGGGCTCGGACGAATCGTCATATTCTAAATTCACCTAGAGTCCCCGCGAGTTTGAGAAGAGGAAAGGATAGCCGACTAAGTCCATCCTTAGCGTTGCGCTTTCGAGTCATTTTTGACGAAAGCTTAGTGTTTTGGTGGAGATGAGGGGGGGAACGTTGGACTTTTTGGACGCTAGAGATAGACGAGCTAACCGGATACTCATTGGCTGCTCCGAAGACGTGCGGCTGATGGTGGAGGGGTTCTGTACATAGTACCGTAGGTGATTGAATTACTACGTCTCTCTATTTCGGGACAGGGGTTCAGGTTTGCTTGCCAAGGCCTTGCCATCTCTCATCCCCTGGCAAGACCTTCCCTCAGAGCAAGGCAGATAACCAGGCCGCCATCCGTCCGGGGGCTCCAGCCTCCCCCGTCATTATATTTAAGTCTTATTCATTCAGTCCATGGCAATTAAAGTCTTGGCTCAGACTTTGCGAAGCAAGAATCTCATGAGTAAGTTCTAGTATCTCTAAGTTCTGCTACTTGACAATGGTCTTGTTCTCTATCTGTCACTCCAAGAGATCAAGACTCATCTTTGTCGCCTATAGGTGTGAGTCGAAATGGCTTCATCTCTTCATCCATGTCTTCAAGACTTCCTTTTTGAGGTCTTCGCCGAACACAGAATCGCTCTTCTTGAAATCATGATGCGGTCCAGGATGAATTTTTTCGCGACTGAAATAACATTTGAAACAAAGCTTGAAGTCCATACAAACCTGACAGGACCATGCTGTGCCGATGATGGGCTATGTGATGTAAGGCGTTAGTAAGGAATCCAATTCGGCACCCAGGTTAGACAGCTCATAGTGCAAGACTCAGGAAACAACATACCGATCGACAACAAATGCAAGCTGGTTTGTTGTGTACATGGCCCGTCCGTAGAGAAGATGATTCCGTGAATAATTTTGATGTTTCCTTCGCTGAAGCCGATCTGGCTAAAGGCCCAATAACATTTCCTCCACTGTTGTGGAAAATAGCGATTTGCAACGGAGTCCAGCTCTGAAGTTCATCTCCCGGAACCGATACCGTGTTATCGGCGCCGCGCTCGAGAAGGTATTTAATAATATCTGTTTGACCCTGAGAAGAAATTTCATCGAGTTTTGCTCCTGATGTCAGACCTCGAGCAGCCCAGCATAACGCCGTCCAGCCATCATTATCGGGTTGGTCGATATCAAGCTTGATTTTGTCAGATGTGAGAATATCGCTGACGGTCTCAACATCTCCGCTTTGAGCTGCCCAGTGTAGAACAGTGCGACCGGTCTTGTCTTTGGAATTCAAAGGCAAGAACCTCAATCGAGGCTGCTGGGAAATGCGCTCGTATCTGTGGTATGAGAAGACGGCTGCGAAGTGAATTGGCAAACGGCCCATCGGATCAGGGATATTCGAGTGACCTTTAGACACGTCTAAGATAAGCGACCAAGGTTCGTCAGATTTTAGCAGGCAAGCTATGTTAACCGCCGTGCCAAAGAATCCGCATTGTGCATTGATATCTGCTTTGGCTTCTCGTACGAGATGTTGTATCATGCCGCATATGACGTCTTTATGCGCCTTGGATAGGCATGCGGCCTGCAAGGCACTGCCGAACAAACCTTTTGAGGAAAAACTTGGGCTTGCGCCGCACTCCCGAGTAAGGAATCTGACCATTGCCAAATTGCCATCGTAACATGCCTTGTTCAAGGCCGAACCGTATCGAGATTTGTCTGAATTGACGTTGGCTATGTCTTTGCGAGCGAGATACCTGATAGCTTTCTTGTCTTCTTCTCTACTGAGGTCTGCTCTTTGGATAACATTGATAAGCGGTGTGCAGCACTTCTGGGGGCATGGAGCTGTGGGCGAGGCCCCGTCTTTGATGAGCCTCTGGATAAATTCAAGTTGGGGCCTTCTGTGCTGGGTGAAATATAGCAAAGCCGTTCCTCCATGAGTGCCTTCAAAGTCGAGATCGTTATCAAATCGGTGGAATTTTTCATTCGAGGTTTCAAAGGGCTCAGTGATGTAACTAGCGATGTGACCAGGGTCGTGGCCAGTAACGTGACCAGGAATGAGAGGGACATCCGCTGCGCCAACATGCAAGCTGGCGCCACCTCCAGGTGGTTGGGATCTGGAGTTTTCTCCGCTCGAATTCTCTGAGCTCCAATCGAAAGGTGGTGAAGAAGGCATAGAAGACATGATGAGAGTTGAGAATTGTTGTAGACGTCAAATAGATCGTATTGCTTTTACTTTGGCTGTTGACTTCAATTATATTGGAGGATGTTGGGCGATGAGACCAAGGTTGAGAGTGGAAAGGCTGACGGAATCCCTCGTGAGAAGAAATTGAGAGAATTTAATACAACACTTGATACGCAATCGTGTACCCCGTCGAGACTTGATGCAGGTGTGATGGGGCATAATTGTTCACTCGTGAAAGGCCCATGTTTGTGTGGCACAGAAGCCGGCGGTAGCATATTTGCTTTGTTCTTCTTCGGACCCTGCCAGTCCATCTGACTGAACATCTACTAGTGGTGTAAAGAAATTAAAGTCAAAGGAATTACGCAAGAGGGGAATCGCTCTTTCGATTGGATCGAACGGGCAGCCGAAGATACTTGCGAGCAATGCTGGTAATGAGACAGGTTCGAATAGCAGCTGACATCGTATCTAGATAACTAGGTGGATTGAATTCAAGCATTCCTTGACCAGTCTGTGTAGTACATGATTAAGTGGGTGATGATTTACCAAAAAAACACCTTTGTAGTGACCACCACAATACATAGCGCGCCCGTTTTGTGACCGCCAAGATCGTGAATTCCCTTTCCATTCAGACACATTTGTTCAAAACTTGAGTTTCCAAGAAATGTGGCGGCTAGGACAGCCCGTCTGTCCTACTTGAAGTATTGACCCTTGAATCCCGGGAGGATCTCCTGTCCTTCTGAGTTCTGGTAGCTGACCCCCTTCCTTTGTTGCCAAGTCTGCTTGAGGGTAGTAAATTCTCCCATAGTCGGAACCGGATGGCCGCCAGCCTCGAACTCATTCTGAGTAAAGCCTTCGCGCTTCAACACTGGCGAGTCAATCGTCTTCAGTACGAGGTCGTTCTGAGGACGCGCAAAGTACAACAAACCCAGGCGGTCGACATGGCGCTGGTCCTTAGGCGGCACAGATACCTGGTTTCCGGATTAGAAAACCGTAGAGGGTAAGCCAAATTGTAGGAATGAAGTTTCACTCACTCGGTGAACTGTGGACTTGACGTAACCACCCGTCAAGAAGCTCAGGGCATCGCAAGTGTTGACAGTAAGACTGCCATCAAGCGGCTTAGCCCATTTCCAGTCGCCGGTCTCATGATCCCTGATTTGCAGGGCGGCAACGGGTTGACGAAAAAGCAGGGTGATCGTCCCCAGATCCGTGTGGCCGCGGGACCATAGGCCATCATCGAGTTGCTTGATCTCTTCCGGAGTGAACTTGGAATACTTCATATAGCGCAGGTGAGACTCATCGTGAGTCTCCCACTTGTGTACACGTGTAAAGAAGTCCTCAGGCAGCTCCAAAGCCAGAGCGATGAGGTGGTTCAGGGGATCCAGCACCTTATCATGGAGGTTCTAAGTCTGGCGTTAGTCACGTTATCCTACCTAAGATCAAAAGTATAGTACCTTTGCGAATCCTTCAATCTCTTCCTTGCGATCCTCCAAAAGCTTGGGCAAAGGTTGTGTGATGTGTCCAGCGCGAGCTGGATTGCATCCGTCAGCAACGCTTCCTCAATTCGAAGCAAATCGAAGAAACACTCACTGGCCATGTTCCATACTTCGGTCTTATCCTTGAGGCCACCGCTCAAAAACCGCCTACCAGCGGGACGATACCCATTGTAGTCTCCAGAATCCAAATCCGGCTCATACTTGAGTTTCTCGTCCAACGGTAGCTCGTAAAATTTCTGGCCAAGAGCAAATTGTGCGTCGACCGCTTCTTGCGAGATGCCGTAGTTGATAACATAGAAGAATCCCTTGGTCCGAATGGCCTCGATCAAGGTCTCGGCAAGTTCCTTGTTGCCCTCTGGTGTCCCATACTTTGCAAGGTCAATGGTGGGAACTTCGGATGCCTGTCAGCTTGGAAGTCCTGCACAGTCTTGCGTGAAATCATGGTGAGCCAAGACTTACGGTCAGCCCAATCAAGGTTCTCCTCCGTCTCTGGGACGTGGGTGTATTGGTACAATTCGGACACAGCAGACGGCATTTTGGGCGGTGAGGCGGGGTATCTTTTCTTCAGAGGCTGGTTGGTCTAGGTTTTCTCCAATACATCCAGAGGCCGGGTTCCAAGCTCGCCATTTTAACTATGAACCTTGACTGCGACTACGGACGGCTTCACGCCGGATCTCGCTGCCTGTATTAGTCGAGCCAACACGCCACGGCGACGTCTCCGCAGGACTTAACCCCCACCAAATCCTCAACCATCAAGAGACCAATAATAGCAAGTTGATTTGGTTTCATACTTCTCCATGGTGTCACACTCGCATCTTACCCCGCGGCACTTACCAAGCAGCACAATAAATCTACTTGGTCGAGGCACTTGGAGATGCGAGATCGCCGCATGTCATCATCTGATAACGGATGGCGCAATCCCCACCCCCGTCACACGTCGTCGGGCTTTTCCCGCTGACAAGACGCCGCGGTGGTTGGGTGTTCATAGCAGAAGCACGTCTTGGGGGTGGCAAGCATTTAGTGAAGGCTCGACATAAGACCAAGAAGGCGAAAGGGATGTAGACAGGGGGACGAAGAATCCTCCTTGCTCCGGTGACATTATATGTAAACCACTGCCGACAGCGCAGTGCCGATTCTGACTCTTGCACGTGCATCGCAGACGGAAATCCGGCAGAACCAGCTGAAGATGGGGTCTTTCGGTCAAAAAGTGAAGGGCAACAAGATAGGGGCGGTGATATTGTCAGTATTTGACTGGTACCGTAAGTATTCGACCGTTTATCTTACACAAGGAAGTCACTCACGGTCATTGAACAGCCTCACACTATCCTGCAGAGGAGCGAAAGCTTTTGCGAAAACTCGATCTTGCGATTCTGGTCTTTGGAAGTTTGTCATGTAAGTCAAGGTCTCTTCATTTGATCGAAGGCAAATCAAACTAATTGTTACCTTTACTACTCTTAGTCTTTTGCAGAGTAAGGGCATCTTTTACTCACAATTCCCAGAGTTATGAGCTGACCGGCAGTAGTTCCTTGGGCAGCAAAATGTCACCAACGCATATGTATCAGGCATGCGTGAGGATCTTGATTCTCACGGCAACGAGTTGAACTACTATGTCGTCGCTTGTAAGCAAATGTTCAGACACTCATGTTACATGCTCAACTGACATTTTCAGACAACACCGCATACGTCATTGGCCAAATCCCGCTCATGACTCTACAAACGAAGGCAAAGATGTAAGTCTAAAAATTAGATGCTTTTTCAGGCGATTTAGCAAGTTGCTGATCAAGATTATGCAGTGCACCTTTCTTGTTACCTTCCCTGCAGATCATCTGGGCAGTGATCGCTTTTTCTCAGTCCACTATCAAGCACAGCTGGCATCTGTACATCCTTCGCGCTATTACAGGGTTCCTCGAAGCTTCATCGTTCGGTGGCACTCATCTAATTCGTAAGGATGCTTGTTGAAACCCAATGTCTCCTCGCCGAAGTACTGACCAAAAGTAGTGGGCAGTTGGTTCAAGAACGAAGAGCTCTTCAAGCGAGCTGGAGTATGGTTCATGGGTAACTCTCTAGGCTCCATGTTCTCCGGCTACTTGCAGGCCGCGGCGTATCGAAACCTCAACGGCGTTTTTGGACGTGCGGGTTGGCGATGGCTCTTCATCGTCCAGGGTATTATCACCCTTCCCATATCCTTCTTAGGTTTTGCGTTTTGGCCTGGCCTTCCAACTTCACCCAAGAGGTGGTACTTCTCCGCGGAGGAGCACGCCCTCGCGGTCAAGCGGATGCCAACAGTCGAACAGGAGGGCATTACCTGGAAGACGTTCAAATATACGCTCTCCAGACCAATGTGGTGGATTTGCGTTCCTTGCTACATGTTCGTGCCCCTGAGCCTCCTTGAAAGCGATTGTTTCTCTGACACATTACAGCTTCTTGTGCCAAGCGCACTACTGGACAGGCTACATGGCTTTGTGGCTAAAGGCTGCTGGATACTCGGTTGAATTGGTGAATATTTTGCCGACTTTCATCGACCTTCTCCGGGCATTGTCCTCTTGGCTAGGAACTACGTTAGCAGGTTGTTTGAGTTTGAGGGGCCTTTGGTCTTTCCAGGCGGTAAGAATCCATCTTATCAACATTGACACAACGATCAGCGCTAATTACTCGTAGTCATTTGTGCTCTTCTCTTGCATAGTCCTGTCTACATGGAATGTTCCTGACATACTCAAATTCCTTGCATTCTATTTCGGAGGTTTCTCTGGGATGGCATCTCCGATCTTGGTAAGTCACCCTGTACGCCATGCTCGACTTCCTCATCTAACAAAAGCGTTTTAGTATTCATGGTTGAACTCTACGCTCAAAGAGAATTATGGTGAAAGAGGCCTCATCATCTCTTCGATGATGACCCTCGGATTCTGTGGACAGATTTGGATCCCTCTATTCACCTTCCCAACCGTCGAAGCCCCGCGCTATCCCCACGGATATCCCGCAGCTACAGTATTCGAAGTCGCAATGTGGGCTTTTCTCATGTTCGGCACATGGTACATGAAGAGATGGAAGCACAAGCATCCTGACCTGGAGATGAGGCTTGCGACCGAAGGAGCTGCCGCGGAAGGCTCCTCGGTCATTGGATCTGATTCCGACAGGCCTGACGGAGATAGCCCGGGTACCCAGTATACAGGCAAAGGGGAAGAGATTGTGGCCACTCAGCCTGTCAGCCAGAAAACCTGAAAGACTTTGGAGATAATAAGAGCGTGCAATGGCTAGTAGATGCATATCTCAGCGGCAGAGGATTTACCGGATGACTTTAGTCCTCGGTGTGTTTGTTTCCGCAAACAAGGGTGACATAGACTGGCGAAAAGAAAACAAACCTGCAAGACTGAGCTGCACAGAATGGATCTATTTGACGATTGGAATTTTCGCGAATTTTCAAGAACAGATGAGTGCTTTGACGTAGATATTTCTAGTCAGCGGAAAGCGGCATTCTGGGTACAAGAAAAGTTGTCACAGCCATGTGTA